GTACTCGAATGATAACTGCACTTTTGCAGGAGAGGGGCAACAGGACGACCAGGAGACTGTTTTTGTCCCCCCTGACGGAGGAGCTGGGGACAATCACGTCCGTCTTGGGCACTTGGGCAAAGCTGGACTCCGCCTTCTCCAAGTCGTCTGTGCCCACGGCCGGCCTGGTTGGATTCCTGTCCGATGCGTCGAGTGATGCCACGTGGGACGACGCGTACCGCTGCCTGAACGCAGTTGTGAAAAATGCAAAGAAGTTCGACAATGGCTTTGAGTTCACTGGACCCGAGTCCGGCGGAATGTGGCCCGTGAACATGTGGGACTATGGTAATGTGTACGGCTTTGTGAATTACGCGTTCACGCTGGTGGCGACGGTGACCATCCAGCAGGCTCCGAAGGAGAGCGCGCCTCTGCTGGGTGCGAGTCTGGAGGGCTATGGCAGCACGAAGTTCGTGGGGCTGGCGTGCACTGCGAAAAGTGGGAGACGGTCTTCAACGGCGCGGCAACCGCACCCAACGGCAATTGGGAGCCGGGGAAGGAGTACCAAGTGGCGCTCATGCTGCAGGGCAACAAGGGCTCCGTGTACGTGGACGGCAAGCTCGTGGGGAGCTCCGACGCGCCGCCAACACCCGAGGCACGGGGTTACGAAATCTCACACTTCTACTTTGTCGAGCGCTTTGAGTTCCTTGGCACTCAGCGGGCGGTTGTACAAAAGTAAGTTCGTCACCGTCACACCGCCGCCTCTGTCAGTGCCGTCACCCTCGTCGTCTCCAAAGAAGATTACTCGCAAAGCCAAACAGACGACAGCTTCCCGCGCGCGGGTGTGTATTGGGTGCTGCTACTCCTGCTGCTGCTGGGACTATGGGGCATTGCGGCCCTCTCCTGAGTGAGGCACAGCGGAGGGGAGGTTACGGCTGCGGTGGGTTCAGATGTGCCTCTCCATGACTCATTTGACCCAATTGACGCCTCTCGTGGACAGTTATTTTTTTCTTAATGCCTCGCTTTCAGTCATGTGGAAAACTTCTTTGCATAAATTGCACTCATCCCTCGGGCTTCAGCGCTACGGGGCCCTCGTTTATTTTCCTTCCTTATGCGCTCCCGAAGCGGACAGTAAATATTAACTGCCTCTGTTAGTCGATTACAGACGTCCTCGGCATTGTGTGCCCCGCCGATGGGCGGAATAAAAAAAAAAGGAATGCAAATTGCAGCAACATAATGATGAGTGTGCCAGTGAAATATAAAAGAATTGTGGACACATTGGGGTTTGAATGGATGATCCACATACATCTTTTTTTCTGCAGGCAGAATAGGCAATTCCTTTTGGGAGGCCACGCGGGGAGATGTGCCACAGCAGCGCCTTCTTCTTGCGTGGAAAACATGCCAAAGGACATGATAAGTTTTAGGATGAATATTTTTTCCTGCTCAGCGTATCTCCGTGCTCTGCTCCTGCTTGGGACAGCGGGGCCACCTCGACTCTTCGTTATATTTATTGGCTTCCTTTCCGTCTTGCATCGCTGTGGCGCATTTGTGTGTGCGCCCACGAATGTTTTACTCCTCCTCCCTTGCGCGCCCGCAGGCATACAGAACCACACGCTATACATATATGCGCGAATTGCCGTGCAGGCGGATACTCATGTCGCGATCGGTGCTGGTAGTTCTGTGCGAATTCCGGCTGCAGGAAAAAAAACGCAATGGGAGAAGTAGTGCGCCGTGGCTCGGCGCCTTTGCCTGCGGGGCGCCGCGAGTGAGGGTGGCGGCGCCCCTCGCCAAGGCCCGCCGCGGCGCTGTTGCTGGTTTTCTCGCCGGGGGCCTCGCCGGCGCGGCGCGGCTTATGCACGCCGTTCTCCCCAGCCGCGCCGCCCGCCCCGTTCTTCCCCGCCAGGGCGGGGCACACCGACACGCCGGCCGGAAAGCGGCGGCCCCCCGCGGCCGTCCTCCGCCTGAAAAGCCGCCTGTTTGCGGCATTTGTTTCCCTGTTTCCTTGTTCGGTTCGCCCGCGGCCGGCGGGGGTGGGGCGGCCCGCCTCCTCGAGTGGGGAATCGGCCGCTAGAAACGAAAAAGAAGCAAGGAAAAAGGAAGGTCGCGGCGCCCCCGCGGGCCCTGATAAAAAAAAGAAAAAAGCCAAGCGTGGCGGCAGGCCCTTCGGCGACGCTGCCCGACGCCGCGGCGTGGCCCCAAGCTCAGGCGCCGGCGCCGTCTCTCCCATCGCGGCCCCCTGCAGGCCGGGGGCGGCGCGGCCGCCACCCCCTCAGCTATCGACGCGGCGGCGCGAGGCCACCCCCCACCCCCCCTTCCGCCCAGCGCCGAAGCGAGGGACAGGCAAAGCGAGAGGGGAGTGCGGGCGGGGGGGGGGTGGCGCCTGCTTCGCACCGGCCTGGGCCCCGTGGCTGTCGCTGCCGGCGTTTGTTGCGCACTTCCGCGCGCCCGGGCTGGATGGCGCGGCTCGGCCGAAGAGGTTGCGCGGGTTTTGTTTTGTTTTTTTACGCGAGCTAGCGATCGGCGTTTGTTTCCCCCCTCCTCCCCCACGCGTCCGCAAGCAACGCGCGCGGCAACGAGAGCATCCGCCTCCCGGCAAACGGGCCCAACCACGCGGACGCGCATGCCGACGCACACCCGCGACGACGTTTTGCGGCCGCCGAGGCCGTTCCCCGCACCGCCGCCTTCGCCCCTTTTCTTTTTTTGCAGCCCGGCGTGGCCCCACAGGTTTGCCGAAAGGCGCTGGGCTCTGCGGCGGCGGCGCCTGCTCGGGACGCCACGCCGCGACCGCGGCTTTCGTCGCCGGCGCGGGCAGGCTGCCACGGCTCGCGGCCGACGCCCCCCGGCCCCCCGCGCCTCGGCGCGGAACGCGGGGCCCGAGCCGCCGCCCCGCTTTTTTTCTCCGAAATTCTTCGCGATGCTGGCCAAGGTCGCGCCGTAAAAACAGGCGGCGGCGAGCGCCAGCCCCACTTGGCACAGGAAAGCGCCGCCGGCACTGCGGCGCCGCATTGCGCCTCCGAAACCCCCTTTGCCAACGCCACGCCGCCCTCGCGCTCATCTTTTTATTCATTTTCCCTGCGCATAGAATAATGCAAAGTCACTTTCCTCCGTTTCTCGTTGTCCCTCCCCCCGCCGCCCCCTGGCCCCGCCGACCCCGCTGCCACTGCTGCGGCGAATGGCGGCGCTGCCGGCGGTGCGGCGCCGCGTGGCCTGCGCCCTGGCGATCCTCGCGGTGTTGGGCTGTTGCCCCCCCGCTTGCGTAACGACTGCGGCCGCTTCTTCGGCCCAAGAAGGTGTAAATGAGTCGGTCTTGATTTTGCGCGCGGGCAGTGGAGCAAAGTTAAGTTTGCGCCGTTCTGCGGGGAGTGCCTGGCGGAAGCGCACGTTCAGCGTGAAGGCCCTCTTCGCCTTGAGTGGAACCATTGGCGGCAGGTATGGTTTCCTCTGCGCCCGGGCCTGGCCTCAGTACCAGCCCCTCGGCCCCGATAATAAACTCAGCCCTGGATCTTTAGCGGAGGCGCTCTTGCGTTCACGATAAAATGCAGGACGGACGGGAGTAGCAGAGTGTACCGGTTTTCGGCGACAGCAAAAGCAAGCCCCCGTGGCGTGGTTTCTGCTGTTCTGAGCGGCGGCCCGCTTGGGAGGCTGGCAGGGCGTAATGTAGAACCGCCCGGCGCAGAGGCAGATAGGCACATCGGGGTCTCCCCTCGAGGGCCGCCGCCGGGTGGCAACTCACAGGCGACGAAGGCAAAGGACCCGGAAGACCAACGACAAGAGGAAGGGCGAAATGGCACGATGGCTGGGCAGCGGTTGACGGACGGAAGCGGCGCTGAAGACAGACAGGGCAAGGAATACAGCCAATGCTGTAAAGAAGGCCCGCGCGCCCCAGAAGGAAAAGGCGCGAGTGGCACCCGAAACGGCAGCGACGCAGACCCCGCACCGAAGGGGCCTGCAGGGCCTCACCTTCTGTCGCCCGGCACCCGGACAACAACCGCCGCGCCCCCCCCCCCCCTTCAGGCGAAGCGCCTTCGCGCGGCGCCGCCCTCGAGCTCCAGGCTGCTGCGGGACACCCCTCCGAGGGAAGCGGGGAACCCAAAGGCACGTTAACCGCACCGACCGCACAAACACGGGGCGGGCCGCGGCTCGGCGCAAAGCGGCGCTGGCGGTGCCGCGAGGCACGCGAATACGGCAAGCGGCAGTGAACAAGAAGGAGTTGCGGAACACCAGGCGAGGACTCGGCACGGCGGGGTCTCGGCAGAACTCGTGCGGCCCAATGCCGGCGGCACGCGGGCTTTGGCACGCGCCACCGCCACAAACAGCAATAGCAACACCACTCGGAAAACTGTGGCCCATTTTGCGGACAGCACTTCCACCAGCGCTCTGCTTGTGCGTGCGCCTCTGCGGCTGTTTCTCCTCGCGGCTGCCTTTGCCTGCGCTGCGGGGCGGCGGTGGGGGGCAGCCGCGCGCACACTCTCTGGCAGGGATGTGGCTCGTGCTGTGCGCTCGGTTCGCTTTCCGTCCCTGTGGGCCAACGCCTCTCTCACTTCTGTGCTCCTTAGGGGCGTTCTCTTTTTTTTTCTTTTGCGTCTCCGCTTCGCTACCCCATGCGGGCCCCTGTGGGCGGCGGCCCCGCCACTGTTTGCTGCCGCCGCCCGGGCGCGCGGTACCGGCCTTTCGGCGCCGCGCCGCGCGGACCGCCCGAATGAGGCACGAGCCCGCGGCCATCGTGAGATACAAACGCGGCGATGCGGCCAGGTACTCCTTATGTTCCCACCGCGCAGGGCAGCGAGCGGCCCCGCG